CAACCTTGAGAACTGTATTGTTATTACACCATGTTAAAGGAGTATACATAAAGAGGTGGATATTAGTTGACTTTGATGTAATGACAAAAAAAAATCTAATCAAGTGGGTTAAATGGATCCAAATAAGTGGATTAATCTGATCTTAGAAAATGTACTGAGAAAGGAGGCAGACAAGGGTAAATTACATTACAGGAAAAGACAGAAAATCCTATTACAGCAGAGGGAAAGAAGGGAGGGGGTGAGCATTGTTTGAACCTTACTCTCATCAGATTTGGCTCAAGAAGGGATAACATAATCAGTTAGGTATAGAAATCTAACTTGCCCTATAGGCAGTAGGAGGGAAAAGGGGAAAGAAAAGGGAGGGGGAAGAAGGGAGGGAAGAAGCAGTAAGATAAAGGGGAAGAAAAGGGAAAGGGATAATAAAGGGAGGAGGGACTGAAGGAGGTGGTCAAAAGCAAAACACTAGTGAGGGGGGAAAGGAAGAAAAAAAGCATAAATGGGGGAAAAAGGATGGAGAAAAAGACACAGATAGTAATCATAACTGTGAGTGTGAATGGGATGAACTCTCCCATAAAATGGAACAGATTGCAGAATGGATTAAAAACCATAATCCTACAATATGTTGTTTACAGGAAACACATTTGAAAAAGAGTGACACATACAGGGTAAAGGTAAAAGGCTGGAGCAGAATATATTATGCTTCAGCTGAAGTAAAAAAAGCAGGGGTAGCAATCCTGATCTCAGACAAAACAAAAGCAAAAATAGATCTCATCAAAAGAGATAAGGAAGGAAACTACATCCTGCTAAAAGGCACCATAGACAATGAAGTAATATCATTACTAAACATATATGCACCAAATGGTATAGCATCCAAATTCTTAGAGGAGAAGTTCAGGGAGTTACAGGAAGAAATAGACAGCAAAACTATACTAGTGGGGGACCTGAACCTCCCCCTCTCTGAACTAGATAAATCTAACCACAAAATAAATAAGAAAGAAGTTAAGGAGGTGAATACAACATTAGAAAAGTTAGGTATGATAGACCTCTGGAGAAAACTGAATGGGGATAGAAAGGAATATACTTTTTTCTCGGGCGGTACATGGTGCATACACATAGGGCATAAAAACCTCACAATCCAATGCAGAAAGGCAGAAATATTAAATGCATCCTTTTCAGATCATGATGCAATAAAAATTACATGTAATAAAGAGCCATGGAAAGATAGACTAAAAAATAATTGGAAACTAAATAATCTAATCCTAAAAAATGATTGGGTCAAACAAAAAATTACAGAAACAATCAATAATTTCATTCAAGAGAATGACAATAATGAGACAACATACCAAAACTTATGGGATGCAGCGAAAGCAGTTCTTAGGGGAAGTTTTATACCTCTAAATGCTTACATAAATAAAACAGAAAAAGAAACTTCAAATTTAGTTACATCTTGATGCCTTCAGATTTCATTCTGGTCCAGTGTACAAGATTTCTTGTCACTTACTGTTTCAAAAACTGAAATGTTTTTCTTTATACTTATAAAAGACTTAAAAGAACCTTGCTAGCTTGTTGTTTTAAGTGACCCCCTCTGTCACAATCCCGTCTCACAGGCCATTCATTTCAATTTCAAAGGTTTTCTGACAAAGAAATTGAAGTTTTCACAATACTTTTGCATACTAATTTATTTACATCTATGAGGTCAGTCCGCTGGATTTTTCCCAATCCATGGAAAATGCCTAGAAAGATTCTACCTTTCAGCAATGCATTCTCAAGTTCCAGTATTCTCTTATCAAATTAGTGATTCTTAAGAAACACATTTCAATGACTATGAGAGATACTGCAGTAGTCGCTGGTATAGAGAAACCAAATGTTTCAGGTTGCAGACCTGGATGTCACACCACAGCACAAAGCAACGTGAGGTAGAAAAACAAAAGACAATGCCAACAACTGACAAACTAGTGCTATACAACAGTCTAATCTTCAGGAAACAAATACCTTCAGATTAGCCTAGCATGAACCTAGCAGTATGTGGGACTGTTACTGATTTAGGGTAAGAAATCTATGCCACTGTAGCACAGATTTCTTGATTCTGGAAGAACAAGAAGAACAGTTTCAGAAGTGGCTGCTTACCATTGTTGTGAAGATAAAAAATGACTTAGCCAAGTTCACATAATTAGCAAGAAACTTCTGAAGAAGTAGGATCTGAGCCAAGGCCTTCTAATTTGAAGGCCAGGAATATTGATACTATATAATTCTATCCTCATATTAAAATTTATTTTTACTGTTGATCAGAAGTAATGAATGAATTGATCAACTGACAGGCATATATGAAGTGCCTTCTATATGCTGGACACTATTTTAGGTGCTAGAGAAACAAAGACAAAAAATTATAGTCCCTGCCCTTAGGGAGCTAATATTCTATCAGCAATATGTCCACACATAAGGAAATAGCAATTACACATAAAATAAATACAAGGCAATTTCAGAGAGGGAGCTGGGAGTGTCAGGAAAATCCTCATTAAGGAAGGAAGGAAAGAAGGAAGGAAGGAAGGAAGGAAGGAAGGAAGCAAGCAAGCTATGGATTCTAAGAGTTAGATATCAGGTGAGTATGCATTCTAGGCATGGGATAAGGAGGTGTGTAGAGCCTATACCAAAGCACAAGAAGATGTAATTTCCTGTTTGAGGAAATGCAAGAAGACAAGTGCAGTGTCATCAGATGTTGGTAATGTGTAATAAGCCTGGAAAGGAAAATTGAACCAAGTTAAGAATTCTACAATCAACTAAAATGGGCAAAAGCTTTCTGTGAATTAAATTTAAAAAGAATAGTTTGCTAAATACTAAGATACTCTTTAAGCTTAGTAAATCTGTCAGATCTTAAAAAAATACAGTTTTCTTTCATCAACAGATAAGGTCTGAAGTTTATCCTAGCTATGTAACAAATTTTAAATTCTAAGAATGCAAATAAAAGACTATCACATGAAGACAGAAGGCTATTATGAAATTTACTCGGTTAATAAAAATTTGAGAATGATTTAGATTGGGAAGGAAAACAGAATACAAAGTCTCCAAAGAACTAGGGGAAACTCAATTATCTAACTCATTTCTTCTGATAATAAAATATATTTTCTTTCTAGCTATAAGATTTGTGTGTTTACTTCCAGAAGAGGCTTGACAAAAATGAATCAAGAAGCCGTAACACCATACATCACTATTTCATTGTTTTCTTATATAGTCACATTAAAAAATCTATGTAGGTTTACTTTTCTTAGAGCATGTTCTTCTCGTTAATATATTTAAAATACATGATAAATATAACTGTAATACTCAGCATGTACACACACACACACACAGAGTTTACAAAGCATTTTCCTAAGTATCATCACCAGTAGTAATGGTATTATTATAGACACTCATTTTATAGAAGAGGTTCAGAGAAATGAAGTTACTATCCAAATTTATGGAACCTCAGCTCCTTATGAAATGGGAGGACTGGGACCAATTTCTAAATTCCCTTCAAATGTTAATATTTCATGAAATTATACTGAAGAAAATATTAGAAATTCCTCTAAGAAAATGGCCAAAGGAATTACCAGGCAGTTCTCAAAGCCGTCATCAACCATATGAATAAATGCTCCCAATTACTAATAAGAGAAATGCAAATTAAAACAACTCTAAGGTGCCAGCTCACATCCATTAGATTAGTAAAGATGACCCAAAAAAAAATAACAATTTTTAGAGGGACCATGGGAGAACATACATATTAATGCACTGTTGGGTGGAGCTGTGAACTGGTATAATCATTATGGAAAGCAATTTGGAACAACACTCAAAAAACTCAATAATTCATGGATATCGTTTAGCCAAAGGATACCACCACTAGAAAACCAAAATACAAAGGGAAAGAACCCTTATGTAGAAAATATTTATAACAACATTTCCTGTTGTAGCAAAAACTGCAAACTCTATATCTATTAAATGGATAATGCCTTAACAAAATATAGCATATCAAAACACATTTATTTAAGGGTCTAATATGTATCAAGCACTCTATTAAGTGCTGGGGATACAAAAAAAGGTAAAAAGACAATTCCTTCCCTCAAAGAGCTTACAATTTAATGAAAGAAAACATGTAAACAGATATATTCAAAGCAAATTACATAAAAGATGAATAGGAAACAATTAACAGACAGAAAATACTAAATCTAAGAGGGCTTACGCACAGCTTCCTATAAAAGGTGGAATTTTAGTTGGGACTTAAAGGAAGCTCCAGAAGTCAGTAGGCAGAGCAGGAAGAAACAGCATTCTAGGTATGGAGGATATCCAGAGAGAATGCCCAAAGCTGAGAGATTGTGTGTCTTGTCTGTAGAACAGCCAGAAGGCCACTGTCACTGGATTGAAGAGTAAGTGTCAGGGAGTAAGGCGTAAGAAGACTAGAAATGTTGGAGGGGATTAGATTATGAAGAGGGAGCTGAAGCTTTAATTATTTTTGGAAGGTGAGGTCTTTTACTGAGTGAGAAGATAAAAGTGGGAGTACAGATGAATAAATAACTCAAGAAATTAAATCAATTTTTATTACAACTGACATGTAACTGGTTGATGGTCACAGTTCATGATTGAATTTGTGCCTTTTGTGCAACTTGTTTAACTGACCAATGTTACAAAATTCGAACTAGTTGAAGTTGAAGGACACATAAAAGGCTTTGCCATCGCTGAGTTATATTATTCTTTAAAGCACGTGGCTCATAAAATACATAGGTAGCCTTTTCTCCTCATCACTGTCTCACTTCTTTACCTCTGAAAATAAAAAAGTGAAAGACTGCCACCACCATGTGTTATTTTTGATATCATCATTGGGCCATTTAAAATTACAATTTTAGTGGCCAGGAAAACATGCATTTATTCATGATAAAGAGCAGAGGCTAGATTGGCAAAAGTTCAAAAATCCAATATAACTGAAGAAAAAATTACTTAGTTTTTACTAGTAGTTCAGAAATTTCCCTTACCTGCAAGCAACATTTGGGTCAGCATTTCTCGAAAGTAGCAGTTCTACACTCTTCAAAATCTGACCCTCTGAAGCACGTGCAGAACATGCAGCCATCAAAATAGTATATTGATCTATAGTGAAATAGAGAAAATACATATCATTAAGAAAAAATATAGTTGTTTTAATAGCACATAATAAAGAGAGTTAGCATGGTACAGTGGAATATGGGACTAGCTTTACAATTATGAATTTCAGGGTCCTGGCTGACATATACTAGTAAATAACCATGGACAAGTCCCTTAACCTCTCAGTGCTGACTCTTTAAGGCTACATTACAGACAAATTGCTCATCTGCATCAGCAGAGGGAGTTTCAAAAGTCCTCCCCTTGATGAAATTACAGATCTGGACCCACTCTCCTCACTAAAAACCTACAAATATTCCAGAGAGTTAGCTGGCAAGTAGATTACATTCTAAAAGTTGTTTTGTCCATCAATTTTTAAAATTCAGAATTCAAAACACTTTTCTCTTAAAAACAATGTTGTTCAATACAACTATGCATTTTGGAGTGAAAAGACCTGCATTTGATTCCTGATTCTCTTGTCACTGTATAATACTGATCAAGTCATTTATCTGTAGAATAAGGGTGCTGGACTAGATGTCCAAGAGGTCCTTTATAGCTTTAAATCCTACAAATGTCTGAAATTGGGGTCAGGTTCCTAGGATATTCCATAAAAAGCCATTTAGCTGAAAATATGGTTGAAATATGCTAATAGTTGTATTATAGGACGAAATATTTTTTAACATAATTTCTACATAAAAACAATTCAATTTCCTATTCAGTTTTTTTTGGTTTTGTTTTGGGTGAGACAATGCAGGTTAAGTGACTTGCCCAGGATCACACAGCTAGTGAATATCATGTGTCTGAGGCTGGATTTGAACTCAGGTCCTCCTGTCTCGAGGGCCAGTACTCTATCCACTGTGCCATCTAGCTGTCCCCTCAATTTCCTATTCTGGAAGGTTTCCCAGATTCAACTTGGGCACTGGGTATGAGAATTATATTCCTCCTCATTTCTGAACTAAGACATAATACACTAGTAGAAATACTGAGGTTTCAGAAGAAATGAAAAAAAAGGGGAAGTCTGGACATCTTTAGGAATCTCCAAGAGTAGAAAGGAAGACAACTGTGGCACTTTATGTGAGGAGGTAGGACCCTTAGCAGGATGATGGTTCACCTATAAGGATTTTCAATAATCTGAGCAAAATAATTATGGACTTCTTGTAATAAACTTTCTCCTGACACATGCTGGCTGTCCTTTATTTTCTTCTATGGTTCTTGGCTTCAAAGTACAAGAGGAAGAATCTAAAATGTAGCTTTTCCTTTATTACTAACAAAAGAGGAGAGTAGCATTTATAGTTTAATTGTTATTTCTTCTACTCACCCCCCACAGGAAAGGTGAGAAAGAAATATATTAAGAGTTGTCATTAAATTATAAAACTGCAGCTTACTTTTTAAAAGGTATGGACAATGATATTAAATTCATAGATTTTTTTAAGAGATCTCTAGAGATTTAGAACTCAGGTGCCCTGACTCAAAGCTCTCAGCGCTCTTTACATTATCTTAATTCAAGCCTTTTAAGAATTGAATTTAAATTCCAAAGACAGCTCTTCAAATAATTACCTTTCCTTAATTTAAACATATAATAATCACCTTCTGTATGCAAGGCACCATGTTGGATGCTACAGAAAAACAGAATAAAAAAAATAACAAAGGGTCTTAATTAAAAAGTATTTTACAAGTACCTACTATGTACCAGGTAATGTGCTAGGTCCTAGGCATACAAAGAAGGGCAAAAGCAGTCCCTACCTTCAAGGAGCTGACAATCTAATTGCTGAGGCAACATGCAAAACAGTATGTACAAACTAGATACAGACAGGATAAATTGGGGATAATCTCAAAGGGAGAGCACTAAGATGAAGGAGGACTAGGAAAGACTTCTTGTAGAAGACGGGACTTCATCTGAGATTTGAAGGAAGCCAGTGAACTTAGGAGGAGTCAGAGATGAGGAGAGAGAGTTCCAGGTAAGGGGGACCACCAGTAAAAATGTCTGGAATTGGGAGATGGGAGTGTCTACCTCAAAGTTGGCCAATGTCACTGGATTTGTAAGAAGACTGGAAAGGTAGAAAGTGGCAGGTTATGGCAGGGTTTAAAAGCCAAACAGAGGATTTTATATGTGATACTAGAGACAAAAGAGAGCCACTAGAGTTGACTGAATGAGGGTGACATAGTAGGACTTAGGCTTTAGAAGATCAATTTGAGAGCTGAGTAGAGGACAGACAGGAAGAGAGAGAGACTTGAGAAAGGGCTATTGTCATAGTCAAGGTGGTGGCAGTATCAGAAGACAGAAGGGGGACACTGTGAGAGGTGTTGTTGTTGTTTAGTCATATCTGACTTTCCATGACTCCATTTGGGGTTATTTGGCAAAGATACTGGAGTGATTTTCCATTTTCTTCTCCAGCTCATTTTATAGATGAGGAACTGAGGCCAAACAAGGTTAAATGACTTACCCCAAGGTTAAGTCACACAGCTAGTAAGTGTCTGAGGCCAGATTTGAACTCAGGAAGATGAGTCTTCCTCCAAGCCCAGTAGTCTAGTCAATGCACCACCTAGCTTCCTAGCTAAAACATGAAAGTCTGGAGTCAGTAGAGAAGTTAGAGCTGAACACATAAATCTGAGAGTCCACTATATAGCAATGATTGCTAAATACATGGGACTGAGAACATCACCAAGTGAAATTGTATATAGAGAGAAGAGGGCCTAGGGCAGACATGCAGGACACACATAATTAATGGGTATGACCAGGATGAAGATCCAACAAAGGGGACTGAGAAGCAATAATTTGACAGGCAGGAGGAGAAACAGGAGAGAGCAATGCTATGAAAACCTAGAAACAAGAGCCCATCAGGAAGAGGGTGACAGTGTCAAAGGCTGGAGAGAAGTTGGAAGGATGAAGATTAAGCTTGGCAATTAAGAGGTCACTGGTAACTTTGGAGACAGTAGTTTCAGTTGAATGATGAAGCTAGAAGCCAGACCACAGAAAATTAATAAGGGAGAGAGAAGAAATGTGAGGCACTGATTGTAGACAGCTTTCTCGAGGTTGGCCAGAGAAATTAAAGGACAATAATGAACAAAAATGGATGTATCAAGTGAGGGTTTTTTGAGGATGGGGAGACATGCGCATGAGAGTAAAGATGACAAAGGGAGCACTCTGCTAGAGAAGATGGTATGGGAATGAATCACTTGTATGAATAGAGGGATTTACCTTAGCAAGAATTGTCATCTCTTCACGTGAGAGAGGGATAAAGGAAGAGATCATGGCAGAAGGCATCTTAGTGATGTGAGATAAAAAGGAATGGAGAAGAGGGAATGTGAATGGCCCTAATTTTTTTCAATGACCTATGAAGCAAGTTCTCAGCTGAGAGGGGAGGAGGAGGAGTCACTGAAGGCTTGAGAATGGCTTGGAAAAGTTTCTTTTTTAAGTGCAATTGTGAGTCAATTAAGGAGATATTAAAGGATTTCTTTGCTGCAATGAGGACCCAACTGAGATTATGCAAAATAATCCAGTCAACATGTTCCATGATTTTTTCCATCTTTGTTAAGCAACGTGCAAGTAGGAGTAATCCGGGGAAGAAGCTTGGCAGGGAAAGATTTTTGATAGGATAAGGAGGTAAGGGACTTGAGAGAAGAGGATCGCTTACAGTTGAACTGGTTGACCAAGTTAAGACTGGGAAGAGAAGAAGGTGTAGGTTAGTGTAGGAGTGATGACCTGGGAAAGAACTAAGAGGCAGAGGAAAAGGGGGTCAGTGTGAAGATGAAGACTGGGTTTTGGGGGTTGCAGGGCAGAGGAGAGGTGGGGAGAGGTGGAATGACAACAGAATACGTGGCTAAAGAAATTTCAGAGTTTATGAACATGAAAGCATGGAAGTGGTACATTTGTGGGTGACAGCATAATCAAGAGCATGACCATCTCTGTATGTAGCTGAGATGAGATGGAAGAACAGGTCACAGAAAAATAAGGTGAGAAACTAAGAGGTTAGGTGCTTGAGGGAGTTATCATAGTACAGGGCAGGAAGTTTAAGATGAAAGTTAGTTTGTTATTTATGGAGCAGGTATTCCAGAGAGCACAATGAAAGAGATGGGGAGCTTTAGAATGGAATATTGCTGGGGTTGGATTGAGGGAAATGAGAATGAGGAAGTTGGAGGAGAGGGTGGGAAGGACAGTGGGGTGGGGAAGGAGCAAGTAGGAGCAATGAATATCATCTGAGGGGGAGAGGGAGGCAGTTAGAGTCATTGAGGTGGGGAGGGTATGACTGATCAGGGAGTAAATTAATCATTAAGGAATGAGTTCAGGTAAGTTACCATTGTCCATATACAAAGTCCCCAAAGGTGGAATAAAGAGGAATTGTCCCAGGGCATGCAGGGGCAGTTTCATAGCTGGAAAGGGGAGGCAGAGCTGAGTGACTGCAATGGAGTTTGGGTGTGGGCAGGTGGTACAGGCAAGCCATTTGTGTTCGTGTGGGGGGTGGGTGGGTGGGGGACACACAGAGAGACAGAGAATGTGGGCTGGAGGCATAAATACAATAAGTACACAGATAAGTATAAGACAAAGTAGGGAGTAATAGGGGGAAAGGAGATATCCAGAGTCAGTGCTTTAGGAGGAAGAACATGTTTTCATCTCATGAAACCAGAAAAGAACACACCCCATATCTCTCTGACAGGGAATTCCACTCTCATGGCATCCCTTAGGTCCATAGGCCAATGATCAGGGCAATGAATAGGACTTTCGAGTCCAAAGACTGTGTCTCAGTGTAAAAGGGTAGTTATACTATCATAATCAAGGCAAGGCAAGTATACCTATCAATACAAGGTGTTAAGAGTTGGTAACAATGGATGCAACAATAACTACCTACTAATTTCTTTAGTTTGAAGCTTTTTTTAAAAAAATTACTACTCTTGTTTTCAGATTACTTTAACTTTCATCTATTTCCTTTCCCCACATCCCCCACTGAAAAGAATTAAGGAGAAAACAAGGCACTTCAGCATAATTAAATATCAACAAAGTTTGATAATATATGCAATATAATCAATGTAATATAATCTCCCTAAGGTAAGAGTCTGCCATTTTTGTCTCTATGTCTTCAGTGCTTGGCTAACAGTAGATGCTTAATGCCTATTGCGTGACTGATCTGTACTTATCTCCCATCTCTGCAAAGGAGAGATATGTTTTCTTAACTCTTCTTGTGGACCAACTTGGTCATCATAATTTACACAGCATTAAGTTTTGTGCTTTTTGTTGGTTTTCTTTCCATTTACCTTATTCACTTTGTATCAGTTCATTGATATCTTCCCATGCTTCAATGTGTCCTTCACTTTCATTTGTTACAATGCAAAAGCATTCCATTACGTTCACCTACCATAATTTGTTTAGACATTCCAAGAGCAATTAGTATTTACTTTTTTTCCATCTCCTTGTAGTTACAAAAAGTGCTGCTATAAATATTTTAGTGCATGTTGAGATCTTTTTGTGGACCAAAGAACATGCACATTCTTAGTCATTTTCAATACAGGAACAGGAGAGGTGAGTGGTTAAGTGTTAACAGAAAGTTTCAAAATGTCTATTATTTCAAATCTAATTTTGGTTGGTACTTAAAACATTATACAGATGAAATTATTTTGTTTATCAAAGTGCACTAACTGGGATTCATCAACATAATATATATCAATAATCAAATTTATCATGTTAATTCTTAAATATCTTACCCTTATCAAAACTTGCATTAGCCCCTCTGTCCAACAAGATACGCACCAACTCTACATTAGCAATAGTAGCAGCACACATAAGAGGAGTCCATCCAAACTGAAAACTGGATTCCACACTCATTCCTGTAAACATAAAAATAAGTCCTGAGATTAGATGGAACCTTGTAAAAAGCTCCAGAGGCTGTGAAACACACTTTTGAGTGAGAAAATAAATACTGCTTTATCACTATTGTTGTGACTTCAAAGTATGTACACGTTTTGAGAGCTTCAGTTTCTTACTGGAGAGATGGATTAGATGATTTTTCAGGTTCCTGCCAGCTCTAAAATTCAGTGGTTCTATCACTATAGCTAAAATACATTTTAACCAAAACAGATTTAGATTTAAGGAATGTATATAAAGTAAAGGCATGGATTTCTTATTATACTAGAAAGCCCTTGGTGACAATGACTTCTGGAAGTAGAATACTGTGTTAAAGGCTACTTTATATGATCCCTAGAAGAATATATGAAACATTTTATAGATTTTAATGGCAAGAGGCATGATATTAATTAAATTATGTAAAGAAACTTCATAGTATATCAATATCCAACTTTCAACTTTCCATTCTGTTGTTATTATTCTATTACGCACAAAGATACAGGCAAAAGATTGCTGGATTTAACTGTAATTCAAATTCTGGTAATTCCTTTGACTCTGAGCATTTACTCATTTAAGTTTTCTGGGCCTCATTTTTCTCAGCTATAAAATGAATGGGTTGCATTAACCCAAAGGTCTCTTCCAGCTCTAAATCCATTATCTCATGAACAGCTGGGGTGAAGTTTCTACCTCTACTTTGAAGCTGTTCTGCCCTCTCCCACCTCACCCCTTTTTCTAAACACGTCCAAACCTGTTGGTCCCAAGATACCAACATATGGCTATCACAAGTGAGTATTGATCCAACATATTTCTCTACCACCTTTTTCCTTTTTTGCTTAGGGAAATTAATGCATATAATACCTGACCTGCTTCTTCCCTTCTTTCTCACACCTCATATCCAAGTTATTTCCACTTCAATCACCAGTAATATTTGTTTCACACATTACCCAATACTTCAATTTCATGATCTCACTGAAGAGACTTCTTCCAAGAGTACTGACTGCAATATAATTAAGCGTATGCAACTTTTGTCCATGTTTTCCCATAAATTCTCTATAGAGGGCCCAGCTGATGTGCTGGGAACCTTCCTCTAGATATCTTTATGTTAGTTGGAGTTCAACACAATTGCTTGCTGCAAGATTGGCCCAATTCCTTTTCCACTTATAGATCTGAAAACATATTTTATATCATTTTCCTACAGTTATTCATTGGCAATATGCCATGCTCTACCCATATCCACCATGCATGCATCTCTGCACTGCCCTTTGGGAATACACACAAACTAGAAATTTCCCCAAAATTTTTGTGCTTATTGGTCCCCATTAAAGATCTCTTTCAAACAAAACTGTTTACCTGATAGGATTCAGGTCACCAAATGTGCTATTTGTTTACAACCAAAAAGACCCCAAAGTAAAGACAGCAGTTTTTGGGGATGATGAGCCACTCCTGTGAAGCAGGACACATGAAAACAGTCTGAGGACTAGTGGGCCTTACCCTGATCTCTGTAGCTAAACCCTTAGAACACCTGCCTTTTCTATTCACACTACAGTACAACTCTTCTACTTATAACATCTTCTTCAATTAGAATTTAAGTTCACTGAGAACAAGGACTATATTCTTTTCTATTTGTATCCCTAGCATTTAGCACAGTACTTATCTCTAAGTAAGCATTTAAATGTTTTTTAAATGCCTATTTATTAAAACAAATGACAGCTGTACAGTCTCTCTGACAAACACTTTATAATTTTTTTATAACAAAACTGAAAAAAAAAGATAGTCAGGTATGATACAGACATTTATGCAGCTCTCCTCAATTTGCTATGGATTCTTAAACACAGAAATTATGAAGGATTAAGTCAGCATTTGCATTAGCAGAAGGTGCGGATTAACACCCAACATCAAATACCTCCTTTTGTGTGTTTTCTTTTCCCCAATTATATTTTAAGTTCCTTGAGGGCAGGAACTGTCTTTCTTTTTTATATATGTGTCCTCAGTGCTGAGCACAGTTCCTAACAGGGGTGGGGAACATGTGGCCTTCTCGGTCCTCGCGTGTAGCCTTTTGACTGAGTCCAAGTTTTACAGAACAAACCCTTTTATTAAGGGGATTTGTTCTGTGAGGTTTGGATTCAATCAAAGGGCTTCACTTGAGGACCTAGAGGCCTAGAACATAGTAAGTGCATAACAAATGTTTACTGACTACTGACACTTGAGAACTGGCTGGTCTATCTTCATCCTTTTAGATGGGGGAAGGGGAGAGTGGGTAAGGGCTCCCACAAACAATAGCCAGAGCAAATTCAACAAGCATTTATGCATGTAATATATTTATACACACATATGTATATATGCACATACATACACAAATATATATATATACACACACTCACATATGCATGTATATTATGTATAGACTAATATATGTGCATGCATGACACAGAGAGACAGAGACAGAGATATACAAACCTATACCTGAGTTCAAAAACTCAATGGCATAAGTATAAGATAATGGAAATGTGGTTAGAAATTAATATGAAAACAATCTGAGAAATTTAGTGGGCTTAATTATTAAGCTCAATATAAGCATGAGTTAATAGTATGATATTCAAAATAGGAGAGGATCTAAAGCTTCATTAATAGAAACATAATATCCTCAATAACAGCCATGGCTATTCTGCTGTAGTTATAATATGGCTCCAATATATCCTTTTGTGGGCTGATTTTACATTAGTTCCCCTCATACATTCTACATTCTGGTCATACTGGTCTATTTGCTGTTGTTCATACTCGACATTATATCTCCAAACTTGTATGCCTTTGGACAAGTTGTCTCCCATGCCTGAAATATCCTCTCTTCTCACCCGTGCCTATTGGCTCAGCTAAAGCGCCATCTCTTCCAAGAGGCCTTTCGTGATCTTCACAACATTTAGTGCTTTTCCTTCTTACCTCCACCTGCCTCCTGTTACATTGCATTTACTTCGTACATATTCATATACGTAATCAGGTAACCGCTATTACCCTGAACTAGAATGTAAGCAAGCTTCTTAAGGGAAGAGACTATTTTGTCTTTGTATATCTAGCACCTAGCACAACACTTGGCACATATTAGGCACTTATATACTTATTAAATTGAATTACTCTGACATATTCAGACCATATAAGAAATCACATATGATTCTGGGTGCCACAGTTTAGAAAACACATGAAAAGCTGAAAAATGTACAAACAAAGCTAAACAGGATGATAAAGGACTAAAAGTTATATCACACAAAGCCTGGTTCAAGGAATTGGGGAATGGCAAAAGTGAAGAAGAGATATGTGGGTGGGAGAGGTGACAGGTGATATCTTCAAGAACTATCACATGGACAAGAAAATCAAATACATTCTCTTTGGCTCCAGAAGGTAGTACTAGGAACAACGGATGAAAGTTATAAACTGACATATTCTGGCTTGATCCTGTCAATTATAGCTCCCCAAAAGCTGAATGAGGCTCAGAAGTTAATTCCTTGGTATTGAACTTATTTTTTTTTCTATTTATTTTATTTTATTTTTTAATATAAATTTATTTATTTTTAGTTTTCAATATTCACTTCCACAAGTTTTTGAGTTCCAAATTTCTCACCCCTCCCCCCACCCCAAGATGGCATGCATTCTGAATACCCTTCCCCTGTCTGCCTTCTCTTCTATCTCTCCCCCCCTTCTCTTATCCCCTTCCCCTTCTATTTTTCTGTAGAGCAGGATAGACTTCTGTACCCCCATTTCCTGTATTTCTTATTTCCCAGTTGCATGTGAAAACATTTTTTTTAAAACATGTGTTTTTAAAACTTTGAGTTCCAAATTTTCTCACTCCCTCCCTCCCCACCCACCCTCATTGAAAAGGCAAGCAACTCAATATAGGTTATACATGTGCAGTTATGCAAAACACTTCCATAGTAGACATGTTGTGAAAAACTAACTCTATTTCCCTTAATCCTATCCTGCCCCCCATTTATTCTATTCTTTCTTTTGACCCTGTCCCTCCTCAGAAGTATTTGCTTCTGATTACCCTCTTTCCCAATCTGCCCTCCTCTCTATCACCCCCTGCTCTCTTGTCCCCTTCTCCCCTATTTTCCTGTAGGGTAAGACAGATTTCCATACCCAATTGAATGTGTATGTTATTCTCTCCTTAAGCCAAATCCTATGAGAATAAGATTCCTCATTCCCTCTCACCTTCCCCTGTTTCCCCTCCACTGTGAGAGACTTTTCTTTTCTGTTTTTTTGTGAGATAATTTACCCCATTCTACCTCTCCCTTTCTTCTCCGAGTATCATCCTCTCTCATCCCTTAATTTTATTCTCCAGATATGACCCCTTAATCTTCAACTCACCCTGTGCCCTCTATCTATCTATTATATACATACATACAATTTTTTTCCTTCAACTACCCTAATACTGACAAAGTCTCATGAGTTACAAATATCATCTTTCCATGCAGGAATGTAAACAGTTCAATCTTAATAAGTCTCTTATGATTTCTCTTTCCTGTTTACCTCTTCATGTTCCACTGAGTCCTGTATTTGAAAGTCAAATTTTCTATTAGCTCTGGTCTTTTCATCAGGAATGCTTGAAAGTCCTCTATTTCACTGAATGACCATTTTTTCCCCTGAAGGATTATACTCAGTTTTGCTGGGTAGGTGATTCTTGGTTGTAATCCTATCTCCTTTGCCCTCGGAATATTATATTCCATGCCCTGGTCCTTTAATGTAGAAGCTGCTAAATCTTGTGTTATCCTGATTGTGTTTCCACAGTACTTGAATTGTTTCCTTCTGGCAGCTTGTAATATTTTCTCCTTGACCTGGGAACTCTGGAATTTGGCTACAATATTCCTAGGAGTTTTCCTTTGGGGATCTCTTTCAGGAGGAGATCTGTGGATTCTTTCAATTTCTATTTTGCCCTCTGGTTCTAAATATCAGGGCAGTTTTCCTTGATAATTTCTTGAAAGATGATGTCTAGGCT